TGATGATGTAATTGAACGTGCGTGGGCTGCTCTGGCTGCTGCAGCCGCCTGGAGCGTGGTGGTGTCACTAATAAGAACTTAAAATAGGCCATCGTAGTTTCTGCCACCAAAAAACAGGCCAGTGACTAAGGCTGAAAGACTGCGCCTGTCTGTTGTTTGGGACGTTCTTCCATGTAAGTTCTTAATAGGCGCGCGTACCAAAATGTAATTACATGACATGTAGGCTGTGTGTGGCGGGATATATAAACTTTTAGGTTGAGGTGTAGATTTGTGCAGTAGTTTCAGGCTGCCGCGCCCGCCGCAATAAGTTATAATGTAACGTTGTAAGCCTCATTTTGGCGCCCCTTTACCTTGGCGCCCGGGGACATATGTACCCCCTGCCCCCCCCCCCCCTAGCTACGCCTCTGGTTGTCCTTAAAAAGCCGCATGCGTCTCCAAAGTCGCAGGTTGCCGAACCGCGCTCCAAGCATTCTACACGACTTTACATAAGATAGTATTGTAATTTATTGTCCTGCCACAGTGCTTAGCCTTGGCACACTCGGACTATGAGCCTGGTGGCCTGAGTTTGTGCCAAATAATTCTGAACTGGTCCTGAGTGCCCAAGTAAAAAAAAGACCCGCACCAACCACAGGCATAAAAACAGCACTGTGTATATAAAGCACAGTAGTACATTTGTGTTAGTCAATCAAATGTCGAGTGACCAAATGCCTGGGGTGTTTGAGCCAGATATTCCGTAACTCCGACAATTGGCACCAGTTTTGCCAAGCCCGCTTTATAAAAGCGGAATAAAACTTTTTTAGAAGTAGCTTACATGGGTTTTTTTTGCGGGGGTTCGTTTTATTTGGAGGTCGTTTTATTTGGAGGCTGTTTTATTTGGAATCTTTTTGTGTTACAGGTGACTGCAACACGAAGTTATAGTTTGATAATAATGGTTGTAGGACCGGTTTAGGCAATTGACAAGTGTTAATGTATTGTGCACGTAATTAAGAGATTGAGAATCCTCGTATCCACACTCTCCGACTGACATGGTTGGCTACGTACGGTGCGAAAGAAGTTCAAAACGTACAGGTAGTTCTCGGCTTACGAACCCAATTCGTTCCAGAGGCACGTTCGTTTGTAAGTCGAACGGTTTGTAAGTCGGAACACAATAATGCACTACATTTAAATGCCCATACGGTCAGTGTTGTGAAACGTGTTACGGTTCAACGAAAAAAAGGGGGGGGTTCGCTCATCTGAACAAGTGCGAGTTCGCTTTTTTAAATACATTTTACTACTATTTTTTCCATGGAAGCTGGTTTATAGGTACGGGTGTTCGTAAGTCGTGCATTTGTAAGTCGAGGACTGGCTGTATAAAAACATAACTCCGCCATTCATATCAGAAAACACCCACCAGTTGTGAATGTTCTGGCGTGTCCAATTAAATAAAACATCCTACGTTCCACGTCCGAGATGTTCTGCAATCTGTGCCCCATTGAGGCAACAGGGGCCACGGGAGGGTGGAGAGCATGAGGATGGCCTCTTTTAAAATGAACCTAATTACACACACATTTATTTTACAAATATTTTGCGTGCAACTTAATGTTGTAGGCAGCAAAACTACAACAGTACAACATTTCTTTTTTTTCGTTATTATAAACACCTTCACATTCCACCCTCTCTCAAGCCCAGTCGTGGTTGGCTATGCACGCCTGGAGGAATCCAGTGTTGTTGAGGCAGTGAGTGTTGGTGGATCACAAAAATGTGATGCAACTCCCTTCCCGTGCACGTCAAGGTGCCATACCCTGGGGATAGTGTTGCTCCCTTGCACGCGTGGGGTTTCTCCGCAGTTCCTCCGGTTTTCTTCCCATTTGTTTGAACACTCATCATTAATTGGCAGGACCCTCATTAAAACGAGTCTTATGTCTCAGCGTAACTTTGCTGGATAAATACATTATCTATTATCTCTTAAAAATGGGTTGTTCGGCTTATTTTAAGCTTGTTTTGAAAGGCAGTGCCTCTAGTTTTTTTCTCATGAGACTTGGCAACGCTGCTATGAATATATAGGTGTTTGGATAGCATGAATTGATGTGTATAAAGATCTGTGTTGAGATTGTGTTGAATTTCATTGCAGTACACTGCGGAGTTTGATAGACCGAGGCCGAAAAATGTTCAGGTTGGGTCTACAGTGGAAAATACGGCAATTCTTATTACATGTAATATATAAGTGCAAGGACGATATGTATATACAATGTATAGCTCAGAAACGATATAAAACAGTAATATAATAAATGCGCTCTGGAACTCTCCAGTCAAACTGTTTAACGAATTCTTAAATCCTCTTGTCGTCAAAATCCACAAATACACGCAAAGTTCTTACTCACCTTTGGCTGCTGACTTAGTAAATTGAAAGTTGCCCCCTACGCTTGACTTGAATACGCACAAAGGGAGGTTGTTTTTCACTTACGTTGCCTTGTCAAACCAACTCCTGGCCCTCGGCCAAACGGCTGTAGTGCAGTTAGCATGGGGGGGGGGGGGGTTTAGCATGGGGGTTGGCAATGGATGGAATGTTGAGGCTCCCCCCCCCCAACAATAATTGAAGTTGCAAACAGGTACAACTAGGTACTTAAAATTTAAGTAATAAATAACTGCCATTTTCCTCTAAGTTATTTCACTAAACTACAAACGAAACTCTTTTTTAGCAGATCAGGCCCACCGAGCTATATAGCATTTTTTCAGAAGCGATCTGGCCACAAATGATAGCTCAACGAAGTGGATTATCACGTGGAAATTTATAGCAGACAAATAATCGAAACGCGTGATGTTGATTCTAAACGTGGAGGGGAAAACCCGGAGGACCTGGAGAAAAATGCACGCGACCGCGGGGCAAGAGAGTGGCACACAAACTCCAAATATACAGCAGGCGTCAGGGTCGGGATCGAACCCACCGCATCCTCCATACCAGGCGAGGTCGTTAACAGTTCGCCAAAGTTGCGCCTCTCGAAGTCTCTAATGCACGTCTAATCATGACGTCGCTATTGTGGCACGTCATTGTGTGATTTACTCGGTGTAACTTGATAGCAAATCAATCGGCACGATAAACTGCAGTGATTATAAATACGCGTGGCAGGATCGTGTTGAGTGAATTACAATTGAAGGACTTAAGTCATCCTTATTCTGGCTGGGATTACATGAGGGGGGGGCGGGGAAGAATGCAAGACAATACAATTGTAAAATACAATTACAAATATTTGGGAAACTTGATATTGAGATATTTTTCGATTTAAAGCTTTCGTGACTGCAGGGATTCATCTTCTTAGTTCTTTCGGTAAATCATGGGATCTCCTTTGCCAGTACCAAAATATACTAATAGGGTTTTTCCCCTTTTTTTCTGGCAACAAAACTGACACCTTTTGCAAGGAATCATGCTTACATTAACCACAATACCTGCAGTCAAATGCAAACCAAAAACAATAATCTGGTTTGCATTTGACTGCAGGTATTGTGGTTAATGTAAGCATGATTCCTTGCAAAAGGTGTCAGTTTTGTTGCCAGAAAAAAGGGGAAAAACCCTATTAGTATCTTTCGGTAAAGTCACGTAGAAGGGAAGTATGTCTGAATGAAACAGCACGTGTGCTTTTTCATTCAGACGCTGTCGCCTCGACAGATCTGGTTTTCACCTGAGGACGGCTGTTTGCGTTGTGGCCGAAACGTCGTGAGAATTGTTTTATTATGTTTTATTTTTACTATTTTATTACTTCCCTTCTACGTGACTTTACCGAAAGAACCAAGAAGTTGATATTGAGATATCATGTCATGTCGCGGCGACTCGCGTTCCATTGCTGCTCACGTCCACCAGCGGTGACGAATATCGGAAGCGGTTCTGGGCTTCCCCTAAGTCGATTCGGCCGTAAATGCATATTATAATGCTGTGTACAATCACTTCCTCATGCTCCGTTGCTGGCATGAGTGATCGTCGTAGTCTGTTCAAGGTTATGGGGGGGGGGGGGTATTTGATTTTATTCCCTTTATTAACCGCGTGTAGAAATGACAGACAAAAAAATGTTAAGTTAAATATAAACTTGAGAAAATGACGCTGCTAGAATAAAATATGGCCAATGGTGAATGATAATGAGGTAGTGACAGCCAAGGTACGGAACGCGTCTTAGAGGTCACCCACAGGAAGCGATTACATCAGCTCGTGTGCGAAATGACGGCTTGGGGGAGGTCCTTCATCCAGCAGTGAATCGATCATGGCGGACTAGGATTGTGTTGTACGCGTGGGGGCTTTTGCACCGTGGGGAGGTCTCGTACCACCGAGATTCAAAGGAGGATTTGCGTGGATGTTATATACGGCGGTCCATTTATAGATAGCCCACCCCCCCCCAAAATAAAATAAACAGGGAGATTTCGCGTTAAATGATTGCACTCTCCCGTGTAGGATACAGAGCCATCCGCACTAACAATATCCACTCAGCCCTTCCTCCCCGTAGAAATGCTCTAAAGTTGAGTAAAAAACGTTGCTTCAACAATAACCACACCGAGCTTTATCATAACGCGTCAAACACACACAGGCGAGCACATCGTATTATTATTACTCATTGTTTAGCGTTCAACATTTGATTACAGTTTTACCAATGACTGCGTCGTACTTATCTTTTGTGTGCCCCTCTCACCGCGTCCAAGACGAGGTAAAGTTCACAGACGCATTGTAACCTCGTCAAGGGTGGCACAGTCTGGTTTTTTTTACAATCGGGTTTAATTGTCTTTTTATATTAAACCCGGTCATCTGAGATTGGGATAAATCCGGTTTAATTGGTTAAAAAAAAAAAACCGATGCCTGCCGCTGGAAAAATCGGGTTTTTCCACCCATGAACTTCATGGGCGCAATATAAACGCGAGTAAAGTATTGTTACAATATCGTTGTAGGTCGTTACGAGTATAGTTAACAAGCGAAGAGGAGCCGGAGAAGTAAATATGATTACTGCTTTTGTCGTTATCGAGCCGGGCGGGATGTTACTCACCAAGGCCTGCGGGGTCGTCGGAACACGGCTCCGTGGGTTCCCGGGGAGGACTCTGGCCCGAAACGTCGACGTTCTCCTGCACCCCGAGCGTGGCGCTTGCGAGGTCCGCCCGGTGCGTCTTCCTCATCGGCGGAGGGGGCCACACGGCGTCGGCGTCCGATCGGTCCGTCAGGTTTCTTTGGCGCAGGAACGAAATGGCCTTCGCGGGCACCTCGGAGTACACGACCAAGACCACGAAGAGGTGGACCGAGCACAGGATTACCAGCGACACGCACACGGTCTCCAGCGGTTTTGACAACGACATCTCAAGACGTTTTTGCGTCACCCGCTCCGATTGATCCCTTCCTCTTGATGCTGCTGCTGATGCCGATGATGCTCTCTTTCTACGTTGGGTTAACGAGTAATTAGTAACCGCTGCGGCTGGCTGGCTTGCAAGCTTGCTCGCTCGCTGCACAAAATAATTTGTAATCTATTACGGTAGGAAGAGGCAAAACGGCGGATTAAAGTCACGGAGGTGACATCTGACGACAAACTGTGGGGATTGATCGGCGCTGCAACTCAGAAAGAACCTCTCGACAGACACCGCTGCTTGCGCGGTTCCCACCTTTGTGCGTTATTTCTTCACAAAGTGTGTGTGTGGGGCGGTGGGGGAGGGGTTTATAGGGGTGGGGACCGATGGTGTTCCATAATGCGGAGAGAGTCCGACGCGCATACAGATGGTGGGAGGTGTCCAGGTGTCGTGAGCGACACGTATCTGTGGAATGCATCCAACGGCGAGGGTGTGGTGTCACCACGGAAGAGGGTCTCCATCCGTATGGAGCGGTATATTCGTTAGAACGTTTAGCTCAGGAGAGCGAGCGCCTATGTATGTTGATCGCTTTCAATTAACGTTCCACGTTTTGTTTTCATTTCGTTAGAGCAGCAGCGACTTTAGGATTCCGTAAATGGCGCAAATCAAACATTGGGCCCCCCACGTCTGACTGATTGTCACACCCTCTGAGCTGATAATGTAGTCACTACGCCATTGCCCCGAGGATGTTAATTAAGTAATGCTATGAAATGGTCTCAGGTGTATCGTCTGAGGCCATTTCATAGCAGTACAGCACATCGCTGGACTAGTGACGAATTATCACGTTCTGTTTACGTGACAACCCTTACTAGTTGGCTGTGTCGGGTGGTGGCGGGTTTTAACGACACATTTATATATTTACGCACGTGTTTAAAACTGTTTATCGTCCTATTAATATGCTGCACCGGACATCCCTTCCTTTGCAAACGAGATGTTCCATCTTGAGAAAGTATCCAGGTCACATTATTATTTTATAATCGCTAGCTAAATAAATAATACGTACGAACTGTACAGCACTTAATAATTGATGTGGAACCGGTGACGCAATGGTTTGCTAAGTGCGATATAAACGCGGGTGAACGTCAGTGCAAAGGGGTTTATGATCTATGCGTGTCCCCCCCTCCACCAATCACTAACTCGTGTTGACCAGCGTGATGAAGTATGGTTAGAAACTCCGATGGCCGACGTAGCTTGGAGAGGCTTTGATCAAGCAGCGGATTGACCAAAGATGTACATTATTATTTGTGATTTTTTATTGCAGCCCATTGTGAATCCATTGCGAGATGATATCGTCCCCATGCCATGTCGGTCACGATTGTTTGTTGTACCATACTTCTCCACTCTGGCCAGTGCTGGACAGTGAAGTGGACGGATTCAGGACCGCTCCCTCTGCACATGCGTGATTAAACAGTCAATAGGGTCGGTTAAAAAAACATAAGCTTCACCCTTTCCGGAAATAATACATGCGATAATATGTTCAAACACCAAGCAGACGTCTGTCACAAGTCATCAAAATCTACATTAACCACACACATGCTTGTAAACCATGCAAACAAACAGGCTTTCATTATGCATGGATTGTCCTTGAAAGTGATTAGCCTACACCTTGAAAGGGTAAAGAGCTTATTCTTGTTTACATCATCTGGATACTGGCAAAAAAGGAATATAGATAATTCACAGTTATTTGTTTAACCACTGCTGGAGGGAGGTTTGATCATACTTCCCAACGCCAGTCAGTGGGGTTTGGTGAAGGTGGAGCAGGGAACTCAGGACTGGTTCATCACTCGCCATCGATGCTAGCCGTGGTTAGTTATCGTGTCATTGCGTGGTGCGTTAACCACTGCGCCACCGCCCCTGGCTGTATGTGTTATCTTTCAATACATACTGTATAGCATTTTTTAAAGGCAGAATTGGGGGCAATGGAAGTGGTGCAATTTAGTTAATTGTTAATAAATGGGGAAATTTTACAAGGATTATATATTTTTGTTTACGTAAAATGTTGACGTAAAAATATCGCAGGTCATTTGTTTGAGTTGCCCGCAATATACATTATATAGTGATGATTATTTATCAGTCCTTGGTCAATCTACTGCTGGATGAAAGTCTCCCCACGCCGTATCAGTCGTGGGGGGTTATTTGGCCATACTTCACAACGTTTGTCAATGTGAGTTGGTGAAGAGGGTGGAGGTGGGGGGACATGTCAGGACCGATTTCAGACATCAGTCGTCATTCAAGTAAGACATGACCGGGAGTCAAACTCAGTCCGGAATAAACACTTCGCACCTCCTGGCTTGGACATTCATCGAGAGACACTTGTGTGACCCATATTCTTGGTTCTTTCGGTAAAGTCACCTAGAAGGGAAATAATAAAATAACACAAATAAAACAGCTGTCTTTCCGACAGCTTTGTTCTTCACCTGAGGACGGCTGCTTGCGTTGTGGCCGAAACGTCGTGAGAATTTTATTTTATTATAATTTTTTTATTTTATTTTATTATTTCCCTTCTACGTGACTTTACCGAACGAACAAAGAATTTGAATCCCTGTAGTCACGAAAGCTTTAAATCGAAACCTGTGTGACCATCAACCGCACCAAAACATCAACAGGTCGCTGCAGACATCTCCTTCAAAAATGGAAAGTTAAGGACACAAGCCAAAGCGCGACCTGCAACCCAAACTTTGAACCGAAGAAGTAACCCGCTGTAGTATGGCTCCTTCAACAGAGGAACAACAGAACAACACGTACTCTCTCTGCTGAAGCCCGCTCGTGGCGAGCAGGCCACGACATTGGCACCTCCGATTAGTACGGTTGGCTACGTACGGTGCGAAAGAAGTTCAACAGTACATACACTCACATTTAGCTCCTGAACATATCGCTGCCATCATGCACAAGAATAGAGAAATGCACTCACCACTCCATCAACACGTCGGGGGGTGGAATCACGTGTAGAATTGCAACAACGACAACAATGTTCGCCTCGCCACGTCCTGTTCGTCATGGAGAGGGGGGGGTGTTAAGTATTTTGCCACACCTGGTAAACATGCGCTTTGGCAACTTGTCGAGTCAGTGAGCCGTGGCCCGGGGATCAACTGCACCCGCGTCGCCGCATTCACTCGTTGACCTTTGCAGCATCATTTTCTCGGGATACATTTGAAACAACATTTATAACGTTTGCCCCCTTGTGTTTTTTTGCCGAGGTAAGGATTGCACTTAGTTCGGGTTTAACGACGTTGCTCGCTAGATGAAAGTACATCACCTGTTTACAGTTATTTTTTTGCAAACAACTTTCAGTGGAACCAGAATGTACACGGACAAAAAGGCGGGCATTGCGATGTATTTGTGCGCTGGTGCCGACTTTATTGAGGGCGATATTACCACGTCAAATGAAGTGTGATTGATTGAGGCACAACCGAAACACACACACATATTCATAATATAGGTTCTTGGGTCAGATCGCGTTATTTATAAATGTGTTGTAACCCTCCACCACCCGACACAGCCAAACAGTAAAAAATGTCACGTTTTTTAAAGGACAAAATAATTCACTTCTTTAGCCCACCGGTGTGCTGAAGAGAGAATCAACAGCATTTTAAAATTTGAGTACGCCGTTTCGATGATAATTACAATCAGCTTCATCGGGCAAAAATGGTGAAGCTCTCCTGTTGCTTCCGGTATTAAATAGAGCAGCATCAGGGTGACGTCATCATTTAATTCAATTCAATCTGGTGCAGTGATTCGAGGCAGAGAGTGGGAGGGTATTGTAATTATATAGATTGGTAATCATTCAATTAAGTGTTGTTTAGTATTAGACATCTGGCAGTTCACCAGCATAGCTTAATGTGGAAACCATTCGAGGGCTTCCATGTGTAATGACAATCGAGCCTGCATGTGGTCTGAGGGGACTAGTGGCCACGGGAGGTAATGACATGGGTATCAGTTTTGAGTGCGAAGGGACTGGTGGCTACGGGAATGTTCGAGAAGGGAGCGTGGTCAGGTGATGGAGGAGGATGGTGGAGTCTGCCGGTGGAGCGAGCGTCCAGAGTCAGTGAGAATGATTGAGAAGGGGGGCGTGGCCTCGTGTTGACATATAAGGAAGATTCGTGGGAGACTCGGGGCTGTTGCGGTGGGATCTCCTCCGGATGTCAAGTGAACGTGTCTTCAATGAAGTTCCATCTCAAGAGAAGTGTGTCAAGTCGTCATTACACATGCATTGAACAAAAAAACATCAAATTCACACGAAAATAAATCAGCGTAAATGCTAATGAATGTGGCTCATCTCCATCTTCTCTGCAGATGACTTGACCAGTCTCACTCCATCTGTATCGTGTATCTTGCACAAAGGCTGAGTCCTGTTTTCACATATTTTGTTGCTTGAAATGTAGCATCTTTGTCAACATCTCTCTCATTTCACTATATTTCTGTCTCCTGTGTATATCTATCTCTCTTCTCTCGTCCCACTACTGCACCTCTACATTTTTTTCTACGTCTCCATCGTGCTACATCGCTATCTCTTGTCTGAATCTCTTCTCTCATTTCAAGAGGCGTTCATCAATTTAAATGATGCAGACCGAGGTGGCGGGGGCGCAGCATAATGTCCGCTTCGGTTCCTCAAATAGGCTCAGAAACCTGCTAACCTGCTTGTACGAATGTACGTTGAACTTCTTTCGCATCGTAGGTAGCCAACCGCGCTCGTCGGATGTGCTTGGCAGAGCGATTCAAAGCCTTTAAAATATAGACGAATGAAGTATTGGAAACAAAGCTGAGACCATGCGTAAATATAATAATTAATTAATGACTTACACATATTATTTGCTCTGTAAAGAAACCAATATGTATAGCCCACGTATTTCTACTGTTTGATGTTGCAGCGCATAATTCTCAATAAATATTGGAAATAGCATACTGTATCACGTACGATAAGCTTGCCAACATTTGTTACGACCCACAAAATAAAAGTTTCAAACTCCATAAGCCCTGTTTGCATGTTTGGTAATGGCCTGGCACAAGCGTCGTGGTGACGTCACCGCCACTTAGTGGCGAATGGCGGTTGTTGTTATTATAGCTCACTGTCACCATAGTTATGCCCCATGTACTTTTCTGATTTATTTATTTGTAATGTCAAATGTACAAAATGTACGGGAACTTATCCAAGTTAAGTGTGAAAATGTTTTAAAGTTGAAATATGTTTACACAGTGTCCTCACAGAGATGATGAGAGTGGCTAAAATTGTCTAATATTAAACCACTGCTTATTTTTGAAAGATATTATGTTTGTAATAACTTCAGTTTCAGGATGTTCCAATGAGGTTCTATCATGACAGAGTGCATGTCCAGCAAATATCGTGTTTCACGGCAGGGGTTTTGCCTCACGGCAAATTGGGGGGGCGTATGTACACAGGAATTTCCTGTTTTTGATGCTAATTTTGGTCACGTGACCAGGAAGTTGCGATTTAAGATTCCCGCTCAACAACGCGGGCGTCGACCATTGCACACATAATTCAAGATGGCGGCACACATCGCGTCCCAGTGAAGCCAGCCGCAATTGTCCATTGTGGGACTTTAAGAAGCATTCTGTAAGTTCGTTTATGTTCTTATAATATTGGCAATGCTGTTATAATGTTAGAATGACCGTTATAATGATGTAAATGCCTTTATAATGCCGTTAAATTGTTATGATAAATACGAGGCCTTATTGTGAATGTTACTTGTAATTTAATAAGTCGAGTCAAACTTGTA